GCCAGGGAAATGAGAGAGTGTGAAAGAAACTCTTGATGTGTTGCGAAGGGCAACACATCAGTTGCCCTTCGCATCTTTTCTTCATTTGTTAAGAGTCGGGGTGAAGCCAAAGGAGCGTGCACTCCCAGTCAGAAGAAAAAAGAAGAAAAGAAAATACAAAAGCAAAGAGAATATAATGAAAAATGAAAGAAGAAGAAAAGAAGTCTTATGAAACAGGCTAGAAGGCTACAGCAGCCCTAACCACAAAGAAGGCGGCCTCTAAAACTAGTGGTGGTCCAGTAAAGGACCCTGAACCCCAGAAGGAAGAGAACCCCATGCTTGGGATGAAAGAGCCCTGCAGAGTAAAAGCCCAAAATAAAGTACAAGATGAATCTGAAGAAGAAATTCCATTAGGGTTCCAATAGGAAAAACTCCCATCAAAGAAAAAGTAGAAATACAAAAACATGACACACGAAAGAAATCCCCAAAAAAGAGTCCCGGTTCCAACACATTTTGTGGGAATAAGAGAAAGTCCATTCCAGCTTTGGAGACCCCAAAAGCAGCCGAGCCCAGAAGTCCAGGTAAAAGCCCAGGGAAGAAGCCAAGAATCAAAGAAGTGGAGAAGGAGAGAAACTCTCAGTTGGTGAAAAAAGACCCAAGACAGATGCCCAAAAAGCCAGAGGCCAAGTTCTTCACTACAGGTAATAAATCTGCAAGGAAAGCTCCCCACATCCCCAAACAATGCCTCCCAAAACCAAAGTGATCTAGTCAACCTAAAGTCAGTGACTGAACCAGAAGGAAATGTCAGAGCTGCCTGGAAAGCTTTTGAAAAATACCCAGGTCCTGTCACAACTTTCTCCAAGAGTGAGACCTCAACTTAAATGTGTTTAAAACCCCCACAAGTGATTCTGATGTATGTTTGTGCATGTAAGAACAGTAGCTTGGATCCATGTTTTTTTTTTTTGAGTCCATGTTTTAAATTGCTCTTCTGTGCATTTGCCAATATAGTAGAAAATATGGTGCTTTTATTAAAGTGTAACATTTGTTTCAGAGTAAACTAAAAAAAAGAGAAGGTATACAAATGGATAACAAGCACATTAAAGGATGCTCAACAGTATTAGCCATTAGGGAAATGCAAAGTAAAACTATAAGAATAGCTATAATCACGAAGGTAGACAAACAAATGTTAGAGGATGTGGAGAAAATAGAACCTTTATACATTGTTGGTGGACATAAACTGATCGAGCTCCTTTGGAAACAGTTTGGCAGTTTCTTAAATTTAACATAGTCTTACCATATAACCCAACAATTCCACTTGTAGGTATCTCCCGTAGAGAAATTAAAACATATGTTCACAAAAGGATATGTAGATAATTTTCATAGTAACATTGTCATAATATGCAAAAGATGGAAGCAATGAAAATTATATCAATTGATGAATGCATAAACAAAATGTGATATATCCTTAAAATGTCATTGTATTATCAATAAAAAGAAATGAAGTTCAAAAATTCATACATACAAACAACAGTATGGTGGTTACCAGAGAGAAAGAGGGGTGGGAGGACGTAGTAAAGCATGAAGAGGTCAGATATATGGTGACAGAATGAGATTTTACTTTGAGTAGTAAACACACAAATACACAGATGATGTAATATGGAATTGTACCCTTGAAACCATTTTATTAACTGTCATCTCAACAGATTTAAAATGTTTAAAAAAAGAAATGAAGTACTCATACAAGGCACAACATGGATGAACCACAAAAACATCATTTTAAGAGAAAGAAGCAGGTCACAGAAGACCACCTATTGTATGATACAATTTATGTGAAATATGCAGAAAATAAATCTGTAGAGATAGAAAGTAGATTAATTATTGCCTGGGCCTAGGAGTGAGAGTGTGGAATGGCTGAAATGGGACAGTGATTTCTTCTGGGTGTGACAAATATGTGTAAAAATTAGTTTGAGCTGAACCCTGGCTGGTGTGGCTCAGTTGGTTGAGCATTGTCCCACAAACCAAAAGGTCACCGATCCAATTCCTGGGTTATGTGTCCGGTCAGGGAGCCTGTGGAAAGCAACCAATCACTGTTTCTCTCTCATATCAACGTTTCTTTCCCTCTTTCTTCCTCCCTTCCCCTCTCTCTAAAATAAAAAATAAAAGTTAAAAAATCTTTTAAATTAGTTTGTGGTGATAGTTTAGTGACTCTGTTAATTTACTAAAATCACTGAATCAAATGTTAAATAGATAGAAAAAGAGAGAGAGAAAGATGGTATTTAAAAGTTATACTTCCTAGCCCTGGCTGGCATAGCTCAGTGGATTGAGCACAGGCTTGAGAACCAAAGTGTCTCAGGTTTGATTCCCAGCCAGGGTACATTCCTGGGTTGCAGGCCATAACCCCGAGCAACCGCACATTGATGTTTCTCTTTCTCTCTCTATCTCCCTCCCTTCCTTCTCCAAACATAAATAAATAAAATCTTTTTTAAAAAAGTTATACTTCCTTTCAGTTATATTAAAATTGAAACACCCTTGATGATTAAATCTATGACCTCTTGCCTCAGGCCCCCATGAATCAGAAGGAAAGCCTTACCCCCTTCCCTTAGCACATCATGCAGATAGTTACATAGCCTACTTTATTTTACATCCACTCTTAGTTTTACTATTCTTGAAAGTTGCTAAATTATCATTTTAGTAAAAGGTGAAAGATTTATATGATCTGAAGAGAAACCAGCGTGTTTAATTATCATTTTAAAATCATGTTTTTTTTTTGTGGTTACTGGCAAAATGTGTTTTTCTCAGCTTGCCCAATTCCAAATTATCCTATAGTTCAGGAAAACAAATTACCTTTGGAATCACATATGCCTTTTTAGTACACTGAATATGCAAGAAAGCAGATGAGAAGATTTCACTATATGTGGGAGTTCCTCTAAGCACAGTGCCCCCCCCCCCACACACCGAACTGCTTTGTCCTTTAGACATTTAGCTAAATGTTATGAGCTTCTTTCCATTTTGGCAGTGAAATTTCCCCCTTCTTGGCCTTCCCTCCCAACCCCCACAAACATCATTGTTTTCACTTTTACCATAGTTCTAGTACCTAATCACAAGTCCACCCCTTTACTCTCTCCCTTTTCTTTCTTTCAAGTTATCTCCTCCTAGCATAATCCAGAATAGTGAACAGGTGAAACTATCTATCATTTAAGTAGTAACCAGCAAAATATTCACTTTAGACATTAACTTAGTGGACATTTATGGATAATATGTTTGGAAAAATTTTAGTACAGCTTACGGCTTATTTTGTTTTTTGAAAGAAAAGAACTGCTGTAGAATATTAATTTGATATTAAGCCTAAGGTATGCCAGTCCCATAAATGATATATGACATGTTTTTTATTAATATGTAAGAAAGGCAAATATATCATGTATGTTTGGCCAAAAAGCTATTATAAAATATTTTAAGGTTCCATCTTTAGTTATAAATTTCTGGTTAGTAGATAAAATACAATAAAAAAGTAAATTTTGTTGCTTCTTGATAGTGTTACAACTTATTTTTAAAGTTCTTAAATAATCAAGCTTTTGAGTGAAACAATTTTTTTCATTTTAATAACAAACTCCTCAGTAATGATGATGGTTTGATCAACACCTCTTATAGAACTAATTTCTTCCTCCCTCATACATCCTAAATGCTTTGTTTATAATGCTAATGTAAAGCTCCTCTTAAATTAAAGTGTGACTATATCTGTTACTCCAGTGTCACCAGCTAATTGGGATGCAGCTGTAGTACAGCAGAAAGAGCAGTGAAGTCGGTACTGAATACCTGTATCACAGTATTTGTTTTATTACTTAACAGATATGCGACTTTCCTATCTTAATGATTCCTGAATTATGACATGAAGTTATGAAATTGTTTCACCCATGGATTGGAAACTCAAAATATGTAATGTCTACACCATTTTAGTGGATGTGAAGATAAAGTATTTGAAATGAAAATATTTTGGACGAAAGGTAACCATAGACCTTGATAATTTACTTAAACTTCCTGAGACTTGTTGTGCCACCTATAAAGTAGATGCCTACCTCACAGTATTGTTTAAAGATTAACTGAGATACTGTATGTGAAAAAATATAGCTCAGTCTCTGGAAAATGAATGATGTTAATTAATATTTACTTAGGGTGGAATGCTCCCCACCCCATTCTCCTCCATCACTCCCCCAAAATCTCCAAAATTCAAACATCTTTCAAGAAACCACCCAAAAGTTATCACTCTTCAAAGCCTATCCAAACGACTTCAGTCTGTTGTTTAACTACTAGGCTTTGGTATCAGCAGAGACCTCAAAGTTTAAAATCAGAACTGCCATGTAGTAACTCCATGACATTGGACAAGTCACTTATCCTCTCTGCACCTAGGTTTTCCACCTGTAAAATGAGGTAATCATGGTACATATTTCATAAGGTTATGAAGAATTAAAAGAGATACATACATTCGAGTGCTTCACTTAGAAAGTCCTCTGTAAGTACTACATGGTAGGAATAAAAGTAGTAATAGAAAGTTACCCTTTCAGTAAAATGTTTATTAAAACGCTTTCTAGAATGTGATGAAGTTTTGATGCTAAAGTATTTAAAATTGTAATGATGAACAAATGTAAAGAATTGGTATACACATTTAGATATTTGGGGCAAAGTTCAAACCTTTCTTTTATAGAATACGCCTTCCCTACACTGTGGGGTGGGTGTGGGTAATAATAGTCACTATTAATTAGCAGGAAGTAAAACCATAACATAAGCACTCCTGGATAAAAGCAGCAGAAGACCACAAAACAGTATTAAGAGCAGCAGCTACAGATCGCACCTCCACGGTTCTTTGGAGTTCACCTCTAACATTCGTCTTCGAGCCGCGCAAGCGTACACTGAAACCCCCATCCTGTCTGCCCCAATACGCAGGCGCATCTCCTCAAGTCCTATCCCTACCATACTCCTCTTTCTCTTCATTTCGTTCCCCCTCCTCTTCCAGCATTTCAGCAGGTTCAGACTCTTCTACGTAAGGGTGGCGGGCGATCGAGACGTCACGTGATGAGCATCCTGCTTCCCAACATGGCGGAGTTCGACACGATCTCGGAACTGGAGGAGGAGGAAGAGGAGGAGGAAGAAGCGACAACGTCGTCGTCGTCGCCGTCGTCGTCGTCGTCGGTATCGGGGCCCGACGATGACGAGGAAGATGAGGAGGAAGAGGAGGAGGAGGAAGAAGAAGAGAAGGAGCAAGAGGAGGAGACGCCACCGCCACCTCGCGTAGTGAGCGAGGAGCATCTGCGGAGATATGCCCCTGACCCTGTGTTGGTGCGGGGCGCCGGCCACATCACCGTGTAAGCGAGTGGGGATCATGGGGTTTTAAAAGACTGAGATTTGGAGACAGAGAAATGAGAAGGTGATCAAGGGGTTAGTGGAGTGGGGGAGGGCTTACTGAGGCATACAGTTAGCAAAGGGCACCTGCTGTAAACGGAGAAATAGAGGGAGACAGGTGTAAACGAAGTGAGAATGCAAATGTAATGCACCAACGCCTGGTAAAGAGTGAGCATAGGACAGGGAAGTGATGGGTTTGGGAGCCAGAAGGTTGAGACTAAGGGTGAGTCTCCTTGTTTCTCTGTGTATGCTGGCAAGTGAATACTCTTTCAACTGCAGGATATATCAGAAGAGTCTTTGCTGCTAAGATTGGTGTCTGGTGGAATACGGTGATGGCTGTGACATGTGACCTGGTTTCTTCAAAACAGAAATATGATATATTTTGTCAATAATATAGAATTCCCACTCACCGACATATTTATCTGCCCATTCTTCCTATCCAATCCTTATATGAATGAATACAGTTATCCTTTCCACGTCTTGATCATCCGCACTCTGACTTTCTGTAAATATCACACAATTAGAAGTTCAGGTGGAACATCAGCATGAAAAGTAGAAAGAGTAATGGACTGAAAATGATGACTCTTGGATGTTAGTTCGAGCTTTGCTTCTTTCTGGCCCTATGACCTTGGTCAGGTTACTTCCCATTTCTGAGCTTTTTTTCTTTCCATCTGTAAAATTAGGGTTTTGGGATAGATGATTTCTAAAGCCTTTCAGCTCTGAGGTAATTTAAGATACTTGCAAGAGATTTTGTATGCCTAAACATTAAGTATTAAAACATTAAGTGTATATGGAAATTAGTCCCACAAAAGCCAAAGATGACTTCTTGAAAACTTATGCAGAGTGACTTTTTAAAAGATTGACATCTTGAATAATATTTGAGAAAATAAAAGGGGGCACCTCATAGCATAGTAGTTGCAAAGCAAAAGAAAATTTTAGTGGTTCTCTGGGTTTTGAAGACTGCTTTCTCATTTTTCTGTGCTTGGGCTGTAAATACTTGAAAATTTCAATATTGTATTACGTTCATCCTCTTAACTATGATATCTTCTACTGCGTCCTCAAAATAGAGCTATTTTTTTTTTACTATCAAGTCATACTGCCTTTAATTTTGATAACGGCTCCCCTAGCCCCTTTGACCCCTTATAGTTGGCTATAAAATGCACCACCTCCCCCTTTATGTTAGCTTTTAATTTAACATGTTCAGTATTTTGATTGCAATACTTTTGTGATATTTGCATGAAATAAGAAAGATTTTTAAATTGTGGAAGAATTTGGGGACATTTTTAGATCTGCTTTTTTGTTAGGCAATTTTAACAGGGTTTTGTTTTGGTTTTTGTCCAAGAATGTTATTGACAGACTACAATGACTAGATGCCAGCTTTCTGAAATGTTTTTACTTTCATACCTTTTATCACTAAAAAAACACTTTTTTGCTCAAAATAATGACGATTCTGGAACAAAGTTTTCTTTCTTTCTTTCACACTACTGAACAGAAGAAGGGTTTTTATTCCAAGCCATATTTTCTATTCTAGCACTCCTCCCCTTCATTATTTTTTTAAAATTCAGAGAACAGACAAGGAGCAAGAAAGCAGAATTTTAGTTCTTTAAAACTTATTTGTGGTTCCATTCTACTCTTCAAACAACCATGGTAAAGTACTTACCAACCTATTTGTAATTAAAAGTAAAGCATTGACGCCGTTCCCAGGACCTTGTCATAGGTATAATGCCCCTCCTAGCTTAAATATTCCGGAATTAGGCCCTGGCTGGTGTGGTTCAGTGGATTGAGTGCTGGACTGCAAAGCAAAGAGTGGCTAGTTCAATTCCCAGTTAAGGCACATGCCTGGGTTACCGGCCCAGTCCCCAATAGGGGGCCCAAGAGGCAACAACACATTGGTGTTTCTCTCTTCTTTCTCCCTCCCTTCCCCCTCTCTAAATTTTTTTTTTAAATCTGGAATTAGGAGTGTGAAGTAGTGGTTCTGGTAGCAACTCCTGGTATTAATTGAAGCCAAAACCTGAAAAGCAGCACACCAGTAATTGAACTGTTAACCAATGCATATAGTTTGGAAAATTATTTTGTCTTGTACACATTCTCTCACCATTTGCTGTCAAATGTCTGGGATTTGAAAACAATGAAATGTTTAGGAGAAAGTTTAACTTGATCTGAGACTCTGTCAGTGGCAGGAAAACCTTCATTATATCAGGTAAAGTAAGACCCTTAGGAAGTAGTTAATCTAGTTCTGAGACATCTAAAATATCAGCTTCTGTTCAATTTTTTTCTGACATGGGGATTTTAGAGTTCCCCTATCTAAATGAAATATTTCTTATTCTCTCCCACCTCCTTCTTTTCCATTCTTTGTGCAGTTATCTATTTTATGATGATTCTTGGCTCTCAAACTTTAAACTTTGAAAAGAAACAATCACTTCAAACTTCATTGTATCTTAAACCCAACATTTTCCCTCCTCATATTGGCTGTGTAATCCAGTTGCCCCAATTCTGACCCCGATATCACCAAATCCTTATGTCATTTTTAACTCTTCCTCCTCCTTGAATTGTCCTATGCCAGTCAGTCCCAGAATTATGTCATCATGTGTTTTGAAATGTCTATTAGATTTTTTATTTTACCCATTCTACTGGCACCATTCTAGTTTGGGTTGCCATCATCTCCTGCTTGAATTATTGCCAGAGACTGCCACCTGTCCCCACTCCAATCTATTCTGCATGCTTGTGCCAAACTAATTTTCTTAAAATACAGTTTAATCATGTCATTTTCCTGCTGAAAAACCTGCATTGGGTCTTAATTAGGTCTGAATTCCTGTGCTTTCTCCCTCCAAACTCTGAGGTCAAGGAGTCTCTCCACCTGTCCAAAGCTTATCCCTCCACTTATGCCTTTCATACCCTTCTCTTGCGGCCTCCTTCCAGATTTTGCTCCATCAGGAAGACCCTGTCTCTCTAATATTATGACTCTATGCCTCTCTACTGGCTCAGCTTGTAAACACATCAAGAGTCTAGTTTTTAAAAAAATAAAATAAAATAATAAAATATAAAATAAAATAATAAAATAAAATAAAAATATAAAATAAAATGAATAAAATAAAATAAATTTTAAAATAAAATAAAATAAAATAAAATAGTTTCCTAGACCTACATTCCCTTCTAGCTACTATCTAGTCTCCCTTCCTTCTCCAAATTTCTTCTTTTAAAGATTTTATTTTTGTACAGAGGGGAACGAAGGGACAAAGAGAAGGAGAGAAACATCAAAGTGTGGTTACCTCTTGTGCGCCCCCTACTGGGGACCTGGCGCACAACCCAGGCATGTGCCCTAACTGGGAATCAAACTGGCAATCCTTTGCTTCTCATCCCAGTGTTCAATGCACTGAGTCATGCCCGCCAGGGCCAAATTTCTTAAGACTAGCTACATTCACCATATCTATTTTCTCTTCTTCCCTCTGTAATCTGGATTCTACTACCATGACCACAGATGAACTGACCTTAAGATCACCATGACCCTCTTGTTGCTAAATTAATGGGCAAATTTTATTCCCTGTCTTTCTGGTCCTCATGGCTGCATATGACACTTACAATGACTCCTTCTTTCTTGGAGGCTTCTACTCTGGGGTTGACAAACACAGGCTTTCAGAGGCAAGATAGGTCACAGAAAATGATGCAGCATGAGTAATGATGGGACCTTACTTGAACTGGAGAATATGCTTTGCCTAAAGGTATTTAAATTCTAATAGAAAAAAAACCACATTTTTTTAGCCAAACAAACCCAGGAATTTCTTGCCCACTTCACTCTCCTTGTTCTCCTTGTATCTTTCTGACTATGCCTGTTTCATTCACGGGCTTCTGTTCCTCTCTTGCCCCTTGAATACTAGTGATCTCTAGCATTTTGTTCTCAGCCTTCTATTCTTCTCATTCCTTGCTCTCCCTAGATGGTTTCATTTTGACTCTCATGGTTTCAATTATCCAATATCTCCCAAATATGTATCTCTGTACCAGACTCTCTGCTCAGACTGTATCTGGTTTTCCCCACCTTATGGCCCATTGTGATCTTAAATTCAACATAGTCAATGCAGAACTCATTTCCCCCACACAAACACACACCTATCCCAGCCCCTCAAAAAAAACTCCTAATATTTCTGTATTCTCCATCTCAACTAAATGTACCTCCACTGATCTCATTATTCATCCTTGGCTCCTCATTCTCACTCACAATTTTCACAACCAGACAATCAGGAACTATTAACAATATATGACTGAAACTATTATTCTTCTCTGTACTACCACTTCCCTGATTCTTGCTTCTTTCATCACACTAACTAGTCATCTTGCCCTCATCTTTGTCACATTCATATCCATCCCCAGCCTGCTGCTAGACTAAGACACCACTTTCCTGCTTGACTATTCTGTTTTCCCTTTACTTGTAGGATAGAATCTAAGCTCCATGACGTGGCATATTGAACTGAACCCTGCTGATCTAAGAGCCTAATCTCCTGACATTTCCATTTACTGCTTACGTTTTCCTGTTCATAGCATGCTGTTTCTTATCTCTTTGCCTCTAAGATGGGGCCTTCATCTAGTATTCTAGTACCCACTGTCCTCACCCCAGCTTTCCATATGTCTCCAACTCCTGCAAGTCTTCTCTGACCCTACTAAATTGTAAGCTACAATGTCAAGGACAATTTCTGGTTCCCTCTGAATCCTCAGCACCTGCCCTGGAGTAGACTCTCAATAAAAATGAGTTGAATGAATATTGGTTCACTTCAGTAACAACCCATATTGATTCACTTTAGTAACACAATAGTGCATACTATATTATAGGGCCTCAACAAATACTAGTTAGTTGAATCATGCTATGGAAAGTGTATGTGTTTCTGAGCATAGGTATATATGGATACAATAATATCATCAGTGATGGGACAGTATGGAATGACTTTACTTCTGAAAGCTTTGTTATACAAAC